TGTCAACACTTGAAGCAAAATTTTGTATCTCTGCGTGCCCGTGTAATATCCTCTATTTAGATTATGACTGTTTTGTTAGAGTACATGATTTCTTGAAGTGCTTTACTCCATCTTTCCATTCAACTCCATTCTCTTTGCTATCTGCATGTAGCCATAATTTAAAAAATTAAGTTACCACTGTCCATGAAGTTGCCTCACTGAATCTTGAAGAATTCATTAAAATTAATTTGTGTACAATATTTTACATATGCCCTTTAAGTTTTCTATTTTCCCTATTCACTATTCTCCTTAGCCTGTTTATTTCCCAGAGAGTGGAGAGTGTTTATACGAGTAAGAAGGAGGAAAGGAGGAAGAAAACATTGACAATGTCTTTGAACTACAAAGAGTTCATGTTATTTATTATCATTATGGCCTCAAATTGCGTATGAAACACTTTGCACACCTTTGGTAATTTTCATTCATTTACTTTATTTTTCTTTCTAGGCTCGATATGGTTGAAATTAAGGGGAAGAGGGGCCGGAAGGTGCCACTTCTTTTAACAGAGGAGGTTAAACAAGCAATGGATGTGTTGGTGGAAACGCGAAGTGAGGTTGGCATCAATCCACAAAACCCCTACCTATTTGCAACAACTGGAAATGGTTCTTTGGGTCATTTAAGACCATGGGAGTGTATGAGAAAGGTCGTTACAAGTGATGAGTTGAAGCTCGAAAAACCTGAAGCTGTGACAAGTACAAGGCTTCGAAAATATGTGGCTACTGTATCACAAATCTTAGACCTTCAAGAAAATGAACTGGACTGGCTTGCTCGTCATTTAGGCCATGACATCACTGTCCACAGAGAATACTACCGATTACATGAATCAACCATTGAGCTTGCAAAAGTTGGAAAGATTCTTACAACAGTGGATGAGGGAAAAACCCAGCACTGGGCTGGGAAATCCCTAGATGATATTGATCTGGACAAAGACATTGACCCAGTTGCAGGTAGGTATAAACCGTTTCCCTGGCAGGTACTAGGAGGCAAGGCATGATCATTTAGAGGGGCTTGTGCTACTGCTTGTGTTAAATGGGAAAAGTGGAAATGTCAACCCTTTGGCTACCAAGTGGACAAAAGTACTAAACTGCAAAAGCTTCAAGAAACAATATTAAAATATTTAGAAAAAATAACATCACTACAGCAAAGTACTTCTTGTTAGCTTTCCAACAAAGGGATATTCTACATGGTTTGGTCCAAAGATGACAAAGTTAGAACTACCTGTTTAATGAGTATTTTACTTTGGTAGACAAAGGGTCAAGGGTTGGCTTATCTCATCCGGACGAAGGTAGGCACTGATATATTGTTGCTCGTTGATGCATCTGTTGAGGAACCTCTGTAAACAGGACACCCTTACAATGAGGAAATCTCAGTGAAGGCTTGCTAGTGTTAAACTTTGCAACTAGTAGGCTTGTAACTTATTTAGTTTGCAGTTCCACTTCTTACACTGTTCCACTTGCTTATTTAGATGATAGGGATTCTGAATCAGACGAAGACAGTGATATCGGTACAGAGCAAGACAGTCCAAGTGGAAGTGCACAGCAAAAAGGAAGCGTAAGTGGACATTTTTTGTGTCGGTGTTATTGATACCTCATTGCTTTGCCTTTCATTTTGATGTGACAATGCACAGAACTTGTCTTGTGTTTCTAAAACTAATGTTTATACAGTAGTTTCTACAGTTACTCCAAAGAATTGTTTTGGAGAATATTGTGGCCTGTATTTGCCTGATGGTAATATCATTGTTATATATTTTTCTTTTGTAACAGCCAAGATTGGACAAGTCGAGGACAGCTGGTACAACATCAGTGCCAAAAGAAAGTGGTACATCCTTTTTTTAATAACATTTACTGTTTACATTTTATCAATCTTACTGAAAAAATAACTTTAATTAGTATTTTCCTTTATTGAAAATTTTCAAGATAAATTTCTCTGATTAGCTAAGTCGGGGACTACTGTTTTTACGCTTAGCATGTATATTATCCGTTTAATATTTCCAATTGAGCTAACAAGCCGACTGGGAACAGGCCGTTAAGTTGATTCGTATTAAACCCGTGATGATAAATCAGATACAATGTATATATGAAGTTCATATATTTTGAACTGCGGTATTAAATACGTATGATGCACTATCCTCTCAGTTGGCTTGAAAAAGTTGTCTTTGATGTGGATACCTTGATCATGTTTATGATTGGTTAATTTAATTGGATTAATGCAATGTGATTCGCAGATTTAACTATCCGATTACAAGTGTCCGATTACAGCCAGCTGTCCGATTACAGGTATACGATGACAACTCTACAGAATAATTTGGCAAAAATAAAGCTGTTAAACAACCAATCACATTTGAGGAAATTGTAATAGTTATGACAAAACGAAATCAACAGTATTTAACTGTTGTTCTGTTCTTATCATCAGGTATTGCTGGTGCACGCAAGAGGACAAAGCAGCATAATCCTTGGACAAAGGAAGAAAAAGATGAGATTTTCAAACATCTCGGAAATTACATAAAAAAGAAGATTTTGCCGGGAAAGAGGGAATGTTTAAAATGCATTGAGCAAAGTAATGGGGTTTTGGCTAATAGACAGTGGTCAGT